TGTCTTGAATAGTTTTTTCTTCACATCAAATTATATAAATTAGTGATTGTTGACAACAAACGAAGACAGTAAAAGTGTCAACCGATACCATAATTAGAAATGCACATTTTTTGGCATGGAATCAATGTAAAACGGATTATATTTATTTTCCACAAAAAAGACTAATTGCCATTATCTCCTTTTTCATGAAGGGTAATAAAGATATAGACACTTTACGTCTATGTTATGTTTAACAATTCCCGCAGTGGTCACATACGTCCTTGAGCAGATTATTACGGTTTGGCCCTTGTAGTCGACGAACGCCCAAGGCCATCATACAGATGGAAGAAAACGCATTTGATAGAACGGAAGACTATGGCCAGAATATACTTTTTCACAAAGACTAAGTCGGTCAATTAAAGTATAAATGATCTTCTTTTTATCGGAAATTCTAAAAATGCTATGATAGAAACATGATATTACACATTGGGATTATTATTCATTTTGGGTAAGATTCATGGATGCCGTACATTAATTGTAGTTTTCATTTGCAATGAAACAAACGAAAAAATAAATAACAATGCAAAAGCCTTCTCTAGATGACTAATTTGAATTTTCTGATTTCGTTGAATCTCCAGTTACAAGCAAGTATAGTGGGCCACCAATTCCCGTCGTTTAGCTCTGATCTTAACAAGGGCACTCTGCAGTGGAGGAACAAATTTATTCAGTTTCACAATTCTGTACCGGAGCAAGATGATTTTTTGAGCCATCCTAAAGTCACGGGCAGGTAACCGGTTTGACCCTTGTTCTTTGCTGATCAAACACCGTACACAGGACTCAAACATGGAACCTCCGTATTCCTCCTGTTAAATAAAATAAATTAAAGGGAAAACACATGCCAAGGGTGTCAAAGAATCATTTTGACGACATGGCATCTGTCATCCCATTGCGATTCAATCAAAAAATGTAGATTCTGGTTTCATGAATCAGTGCAATGTTTTGGTAAAATTGGTGTGAAAAGAATGTAGAAAGAATGTAGATTTTCTCTACTGAGCAACACATCGACAAGCCACATCTACACCCGGACATAAGTACAATGTGTACTTCAAGGTAATAAAATGTACTATCATACTTATGTCCGATCATAAGTTCGAACAATAGTTGTGTTTAAAATATTAATTGTATGGCATATACGAGACCAATGTTGTTAATGCAACCAGTAGTGGAGTCAGTTATGACAATAAAACCCTTGAATTGCACTTGCCTGGTATACGGTATATACGGCATCATGTTTTGACATAAGTATATTTAATACGAATAAATATTTTTATATCTAACGAAGTGGTGTTGAAAAGTGGCCCAAGTTGATAATAGCAGGCCTCGAAAACTTTGCACATTTACATTGGGCTCCATGTTAAAACATGGGATGATGACAGGAAGGGTGTCAACTTGGATTGGTGGGACAAATGTTTTGAGGAATATTATACGTCAGGACAGTTCCGTCAACTTTGCGATACGCATGGTAAATTTCCTATTTCCTAGTATAGGCTAAAAGGCGATAGAAATATAGATGACCGCGCAATCAATCTGTTTTACATTCTAAAATTCGACCACCGCTTGAACCTAATATCGACCTCAAGCTTACAGTGAATTTTATCCTATCCTTAAATGGTCCCAAAATAAGTTCTAATCAAATTGGTCACTTTTTTCACAGATTATCACAAACGTTTCCAAATGGGCAAGTTTCTATGCAAAAATCAATAAATTGTATGATCCCAATCTTGCAGAAAAACATACAAGAGGCATTGATCCGCATAGATTTGATTTTGAAGCGATCTTGACACATCCACGCATCCGTTAGCTGTATATTTGTCAAATCGACTCTGTATCACGATTAAAAGTTAACTTTGCCTTTGATTAAAAGCCACTTGTACAACCACGGTGCCCATGTCAAGCTGCGCGCCTACTTAGGCGCGCAGTTTGTTTCGATCACAAACTGCGTGCCTAAGAACATTGCATCATTTAAGCTGGAGTCTGTATTTTGAAACGTAATTTGAAGACATTTATCCTGCATTGTTTTCTTGTTCAATGCGTTCATTCTGTGGCGAATATACGAATCTTGCAAATACTAGCAAAAACTATGTGCAAATGAATCTAAGTTTTAAAACATAAGCATATTAATGGCATTTTCGTCACTGATTTAACGGGAATGTATATACGTAAATCGATCTAGCACTTTAAACATAAATGACAAATACTTTAGACTCGTTTTATATTTAATTCCTTACACATTTATCATGTATAATTCAAAATATTTCGAGATAAAACAGATAATCAGGAGATTAAAAAGAAATAAATCACAAACTGCGCGCCTATTTTAGCCAGAAATTACAAACTGTGTGCATTCACTATTAAAACTACATATTATCATTGGAATTTCTACAGAGGCACGTGTAGGTGTTTTTCATGTAGCTTTGGAAATTTTGCTTTATCGTCAGATTTTATGAGATTTTCATATTGAATGTCAAAATGTATAATAGAAGTGACTATTAAGTTGGGAACGAAAAAAACTTTTATTTTCAGATCACCATCTTGGTGGATGGACTCTCATAGTGTTTCAATTATGGGGTTCTACTATTAGACACATATGTGCCTTGTATGGCGCTTATGTTTTCTAATAATACAAAACAAGCTTGGATAGGCACGCAGTTTGGGAAATACATGTGAATATAGGCGCGCAGTTTGACAAGAAAAATGTTTAAATCACGTTTAATATGGCGTATTATCGTTTTGAACACAAACTTTGCTGTTTTAATCAGATGGAGTGATCCTATATATTCTAGCATACACAGACACAATGGCTGAATAAACGGCAATTGACGATAAAAAGACATAGATATAACTTTACACTGTAAATTTTGAACACAGAAGTTACTTAAGACCCTTATATTGAAATAACTAGGTTTACATCGGAAAAAACATTTGAGTACTATGAGTAAATTAAGTTCATCTTCACAGAATGGTACTATCTTTAGAACGAGACTAACCTTGTATTTTTCGTATTTTGGCTCTTTTTGGGAGTCGTGTCCTCCCCGTCTCCTATTTTGAAATATGCGCGCAGTTTGTCAGAGTTTCAAACTGCGTGCCTAGTAGGCACGCTGCTTGACATGGGCATCGTGACAACTAAACATACGCAATAAAGGACGCTTTACAAACGCTTTTAGGGGACATAGTTGTAAAGGGTGGCAAGAATTATTATGTTGGATTTTTTTATGGATCGAATGTATAATATAATAAGTTCTGATAAAAAGGGCATAATGTAACAAACAGACACTTATTTTGACGAGCAATATGTAATAACTCAGATGCGAGTAGGTAGGTACCAGTTTCCCCACCAGGTGGCTCGTTCGTAGCATGGCGGGTATAGTAGAAAGTTAACTTAACGTAGAAAGTTAACTTAAATATTCAACATGGGCTCCATGGGGAATCTCCCCGAACTTAGAAGTCACATTTTCAAAAAAATAAATTTTCAAAGTTGATAAAGAATTTTCGAAACCATATTTTTAGATTTACATGTAGATTTCAAATATGAAACCATATTTGACTGAATTTTGAATATTTAATGACGTAAATCAAGATCACTTCTACTCGCATAGTCTATTGTTTGGAACTAAATAAAAAGATAAACTGCACAGTTTTTAATTTGCTAATTTATAAATAGTATTTTGAACTTTTGAATCGTCTCTATGATATGATCAATGTTTCATTTATTGTTTAACCCTGATGTTGGTCCATCGGATAATTCAAATTTATTTACACTGTTTCTATCTTCCTAAACCATGACCTGGGGGCCTATTGTTATTCAAGACGCCCCTGTCAATCCGTTCGTCAGTCGTTAAAATTCAAACGATTTCTTCAAAACCACATCACGTATCATTATACTCCTTACGAACTGAACGGTTTAAAATTTTTTTCATGTACTTATTATTTTTTATAAATTGATTATGTATTTCTTTTTAAACGTATGTATGCAGATATAATCATCATTTGTTACAACTAAATTAAACATACGGACACAACCAACTAAACTGAATTTTAGATTTATGTTTTCGAAGTGACCGAATTGATTCCATCTGGTGCATTAGATATGATTCGAACTTCAAAGATGATTAATTGCCCATTCTAATTGACCTTTAGTGTAGCATGCAGATTATATCTACCTAATGCAAACACTGGCCCAGAATGAATTAACGGATATGCATAGTAGCGTAACGAAAGCAACAGAGTTGGATTCAAACCTTCTTCTTTGGAATTACCTATTAAAACTTGGAAAATCGTTTATGAAGAAATAATCAATTGCCTCACAAGATTAAAAAATATTATGAATAAAAAATATTTTGGGTCAAGAGAATTTCAGCTAACCAAGTACTCTTAAGAAAGAGTACTTGGTCACTCCATACATTCCACAAGTAAATGGATTTATGGAAAGACCAATGGCTCTGTTACATGTTAAACTCACAGTGTGGTTTAGTTTCACGTATTTATTGACTTTCAAAATGCACGTTCATTGAACTGTGAAATCCAAAACCTACCCAATCAATGCTTCTCGAGCATTAGATAAATAGTGCAACTGATAAATCAGAATGTGTCTATCTTTATATCTAATACGTTTATTCGGAACCATGGTCAATCTATTTGAAGTACCACAAATACCAAACAATGCACAGAGTGAACAGAATCACAGCCTTGAATAGAATCGGGACGGAAAATACAAAATAACATTTACCCACACTCCCTAAAAAACTAATCAGTTATAAACTTTGATATGTGGAAACATCCCTAAATATACATATGAAATATATTGAATCTAATGGCATTAATAATGCTAAAATCTACAATTATTCAATGTCTGATATTCCAATTAGATAATCAATGGTTTTGCATTTATCAAATTACTTGATAACGTTTGTTTGAAATGTCATTAATTGTTTTCGATTTAGGTTTATGTTATTTGTATGTAGTGTTAATGAGAAAAGTTATTGGGATCGCCTAGTCCAAGGACACCTTATAAAGCAAGACAAAAACAAAACAAAATGCCAAAAAATAAAACACGTCTAAACATTTTACTTTTATCGTGCTCTGCTTTACTCGTTGTGATGTTCACCAGGCAACTAAACAAGGACGTAACACAAATCTCCACGAGGACAAGAGAGCTTATTGATTCCAAACTTACAACAACTGAGCACTTAACAAAATTTAATGACAATGAAGAACATGACGAAGATTCATTTGAGGTTAAAGAGAAGATGAATGAATATACATTTAGTTTATCAGGAATTAGTGACACGAAACAATATCACAAAACTTCATTTGAGGCTAATGGCAAAACCAGGGCATACGTAAATCTGAATGAAGATAATGACACTTCCAATATACACTCTACTGAAGATTCATCTGAAGTAGATATGGGAAGTTTAAGCAACCCATACAAAGGAATCAACGCTGAAGATGAGAGCAAAATGAGGAGGATAGAACAAAAACTAAACGACGAATTCGGGTTTATACATAAAGCAAATAATTTTGTACGTTACGAGAAAGAAAATAAAGACTGTGATGTCGGAAAGGTGAGGAAACCACCTGAAGCAATGATCATAGGCGTACAATTCTGTGGAACCGATTTGTTGAGATCTATATTAGGGGCACATCCTAAAATTGCCATAGCACTAGGCGAACCTCATTTCTTTGACAGAAACTACAACGAGACATTAAGTTGGTACCTTAAGCAAATGCCTTGTAGTTCACCGGATCAGATCACCATTGAGACAACGCCGTCGTATTTCGATTTGACGGATCCCGCTCGAATCTTCACATTTAATCCAAATATGAAGCTTATAGTGTGTGTCTGTGACCCTGTTGATAGAACGTTATCTGACTTTACCCACGAACAACGCCTTGGGCATATCCAAAAGGGCAGGACCTTTGAAGAAGAGGTCGTTGGGAGTGACGGTGGGATAAAAGGAAATGTTGCCATCACTAAACGTTCTAACTATCTTTACCCACTTATAAGGTACAAGCAATATTTTAGCTCGAATCAAATCTTTTTTATTGATGTAGCATTATTAGGTTCTCAACTATCGACCGCATTTAATATGTTAGAAGAGTTTCTAGGGATTGAAAAAGTGTTTCGAAAAACTTCGTTCTGGTTCAACACCAAGAAGAACATTAATTGTCTTTCCTCCGAAATGTTCAATATAACAATTTTAAAAAGTCTTGGAATAGAGGAAGATGGCTGTATGGAAACGCCCGGAGTTTTATCAAACCCAGTGATTGCAGAAGGGCTGAGGGATAAGCTTAGAAAACATTATACGGTCTACTGCACTGGGTTTTGTGAAATGCTTGGTAACCACACGTGTAAAGCTTTCCCTTGGAGTCCTAAACGGATGAGTAAAAGATCGATTGACCTTGTTGGAGGGACTTAACTTCAATGATTAGTTAGATTAACTACGGAACCACATGGAAAAGAATATGTCGCTGAAAAAATTCTTGACAATGTCAAAACATTTGCTTTCCTTATAGTGGAAAGTCAAATCCATTATTAACTATACGATCATTGACAGTTCATTGTCAATTAGCTTTAGGAACGATCCTGTCGTAGCCCCCAAGTCACACCAAATGAGTTCCTTCCATACATCCATGAAATGTTGTCGAAAGGGGGCAAACTGTGTGCGAATTGTTTGCAGGTTGCTGGAAATTTACGATCTTTTTACGAACTTCATTTACCCGAGCCTGCTCAAAATTATCTCGCGGCCAACCCGTTACAGAGCGAGTGACAACGTACTAGTACTTAAAACGAGATGGACCTACGAAGAAGACTCTACAGGGTACAAAAGTAAAATCCATATATTGTAAATAACATTCTCACATTGCTGGGCATGATTATCGAATTTCAGCCAATCAGAACACTTTTTAAACAAGAAAACAGCAATTCCACGGAGTAGCAAATCCCACCGAACACCGAAGGAAATTTTACAAAAAATGGTAGACATTTTGAAATTCAGTAGCCATCTTAAGATCATCTTCTTGGGCAGAGTTTCTGTATCTAGGCATCAGCATATAAAATTTGAACCAACTCTTAACATTGGATAGACTTCATTATCAAGCAGCTTGCCTTGTGTCAAGGGCAATTCATGGTTCAAACACTTCAACAGTTTTATCTTTACTCAACTGGAAAACGTTAGCTTCCAGGAGAGAAAAGCATCTCAAAATGTTTGCTTTCAAGGCTAAATACCATTGTTTTCCCCAATTTGAGCTATCACTGATAACGTTCTTTTACGAAAAATGCCAGCCACTTTGAAATTAAGCTACCATCTCGTAAATTCCATCTCGAGTAGGGCTCCTTTGTCCTTGGGCATCAGCATTTAAAATTTGAAACAAAATCGACCCCTAGTATTCGAGTTATCAAAGATTATGTTTTTATGAAAAATAACGGCCATTTTGAAATTCAGGAGCCATCTTGAAAATAGCTCTTTTGTCCCTAGGCATCGGCAAATAAAAATTGAATCAAATCCTGGAAATAGTATTTGAGATAAAATTGCGACCATCTTGAATTGAGCGACCATATTGAAAAGGCCCTACACTCATAAGCCTATAAAATTTGAATTAAATCCGTCAAACGGTATTTGAGTTATCACCTGGACAGACGAACGAACGGACGTACAGACGATTGGATAATAATACGCATCCTTATATAACAACCAAGTGCATAGCTAGTTATAGGTTCAGTGAAATTGATTTCATAATTTCATTTTATAAGTTGGTAGTTGTGTGAAAATCTCTGAAAATAATCATATTGAATACCAATGTAGGTGCTTCTGCAGATCAAAATGTCAAACCTTGCAAAAGATTTCTAATTAGATTTCATTTTAATGATATTAAACTTACAATGTTTAAAAAGGATTAAAGCCCATAGCTCAATGAGTTTTGGTGGATTTTATGCACGTATGTCGTCTTGTATCAAGACCTTTGAATGAGGGCAGTAGCTCGAATAAATATTTAACATATATTGCAATCATATCACATTTGTTTTATTAGCGATTTCTTGACATTGTTTAATTTATATACAATGTATACACAAGACAGTGGATGTTATTGCTCTAAATAATCAGTCAAGCCACGAATCTCTTTCACATTTGATCAATGTAAAAGTTGAAAAAATGAAATTTTAGATTGAGATATAAATGCATATACCATTAGCCATGGGGTTTAAGAAGCGTTTCTCAAAATATTTTTATTACCCTTTAACCCATTACCACCCAACTACGGATATATCCGTAGTTTTGACGTCACATGCTTACCACCCAACTACGGATATATCCGTAGTCGCTGAATATTTCATCAACATTTTGGAAAAATCCTAATATCTGGACCGAACGTGGCTCATTTGAAATGAAATTTCGTCAAACGATAGCCATAATACCCTTTTAATTAAATGAATAAAAAGTATCAATTTCCTGCTTATATATTTGCTTTCCGATGCGATATTTGACGGTCTGTCAACATTTTGAAACTTTTTAAGAAACTTAAAAACAAATGTATGGCGCGTCATGACAAAGTGGGCGTGCCGGAAATAAATTAGTCAGAATTCTTTTCCAAATAGCTTCTATACTATTGGAGATCGTTTCTTGATAATAACAGGATATACTCATCGCAAGTCTACCTTGACATATGAAAGCTAAATTCATCGATAGTATGCAAAACGTACAACTTTGACCTAATTTGTTTCGGAGTTTAAATTTCGCGCCAAAATAAAAAACACGAAACCAAAATGTTGATAATTATAAATTTCTTTTTTTGAACATCAGTACAAGATATTCGTTAGCAAAGTTTACCTTATGTAATTCATTAAATATTTATCATAATGTATTTTGTGAAGATACTGCGTACACCTATATTTATGCTGTTGAACGGTAATCATTTTGGACTGTGTTTGTGTTGATTTCCGGTTTGAAATTTTGGACGACGAAATATTTTCACTTTAGGATATTTTTACAATTATGTGCAATATAGCCAGATAAAGTGTGATAAAAAGAATCTATTTAAATTATCTAGTCAGAGCAGTCAATTTTCCTTCTCAATAAATGACAGTCAATTAACTTGTTCATCTGAAGACGATGATGTTGGTGATATATCCATTTACACTTACACGGGAGGTCCAGCTGGACCGAAGAACATTACAAATGGACAACTTTTACAGCACGTGGAACTTTACAAACTATTTTTTGACTCATTGTTGAATTATATTGTACTTTGCACAAACTTGCATGGAAAACAAAATCATAAACCTCTGGATCGTGACACATTGTCAGCCTTCATTGGTATACTATTTGCCATGGATGTATTAGAAAAGAAAGGCAGCATCTCAGATTATTGGGAAGAAAATAGATTGGTTTCCACTCCAGGTATATATCTGAGGTTATGTCGAAAAACCTCTTTATGGCCATATATGGACAAATTCATTTCTCCCATCCCAATGCTGTTGATGATAGTAATGACTAATGGCAGCTGATGAAAGTATGATTTTGTTCAATGGAAGACTTGCTTTAAAACAGTATATTAAATCAAAACCTAACCCTTGGGGAATTAAGGCCCATATGCATAGTCATACCCTTATACACTCTGAACATTGTGCCATATGCTGGAGCGAGCACCATCGAGCCAGTGATGTAAAAGGTGGCAAAGGTGATCAGCCTCTCCCTACTGGTCTTACAGTCAATGTCAATGGAAAGACAAGCGTAATGAATCTATACTGGCATCAAAGATTACTTCCAAGCGATGTAACATGGTGCCATCATTCACAAGGTAGGCATTATAAAAAATAACTGCACATGAGCCCTGCACTGAATAAATGTATACTACAGCATATGTATATTATTTCATTTTCAGGTTTGATATAAGCATCCTAAATTTGAATTAAATTAAATTTGATTACAGTATGCCACCATTCATCTTAGTTAAAGAGAGAATCAGATTTAGCGAGCAGCCTTACAAAAAATTATTTCAATTTTAGAATATTTCTGGTTTATGTCCTTCCGTTTCACGTCTATTTCTAAAAAAACATGGTGCACACTTATTTTCAGGAAAACTAAAGATTTTATCATTTTTATTATTTAGGAGAATTTAGTCATTTTTCACCCATTTTTGCACTTTAAATCCAGTATAACTTCACCAATTTATAACATATCGTGAATCTTTTGGAAGATATTGTATTTGAGATAGTAAGGAATAGATTGGTAGGTCAACTGCACATTTTGCTTGTAATTTTGTTACCCTCACAGATCTGATTCTGCCTTTAAGTCTTTTTGGTGTTTATTTTTCTACTGTTAACATTTTTATCCTAGGAGAAGAGGAAGGTGGGTTGAGGGAGAAGTTAGTAAACCTGAGCTTGTGCAACTCTACACCAAGTTTATGATAGAAGTAGATATAGTGAACTAGAATGTTGGTACTTACAGACGCCACTTCAAAACTAGGACATGGTATCGACAAGTGTTTTTCCATTTGATGAGGGTGTCTCTTGTAAATGCACACATCATTCATACTGAGGTAATAAATGATAACAGTATTAAAGGTAGAGCTACAGTGGCGGATCCAGGATCCCAAAACTTTTTGGACTCAGAAATTTTGTAAGGCCTCAAAAATGGACCTCTTTTGGCATGATTTGGCATTTTAGGCCTTTTAGGCCAAATTTTCAAAAATGGGCCTTACATTCTAAAAAAATTTCTGGATATTAAAAAACAATATGTCATCACTTCTTGGTGTTGACATCATAAAAATTATATGAACATTTATTTCATTCATCTGTCTCATCCACCAGTTTCAAAATGGCCGCCATTTTAGTGTAAATTTTACAGTATTTTAGGTACAACATATAAATGTAATATTGATATGTTTTAAATGAAAAAAAAAAATGATTAAAAAACAATATATCATCACTTCTTGGTGTTGAGATCATAAAATGTGTATGCACATTTATTTCATCCATCTGTCTGTTGTCACACTGTTCAATATTTATATGTATCTCAGGCTCTTTATGTTTCAGGTATCACAATATGGTCAACTATGAATATGATGATCCATCAAAGGCAGGCAAGCCAAACAAGAGAAAGAGGATGCGTGAAAACTAGACTGAAAATAAGAGACTGTACCAATAAGTCAATTTACAACAATGAATGAAAGAAACTTCGTCAGGTGAATTGGTAAGGCAAGAATAGTGCAATTAATTTGTCAAATTGAATAAGCCTCCAAATTAAGTAGAAGTACAGTGCCTCATTCTTATGGAGAATGAGTTAAAGGGCATGGTTTGATGAAATGAAATGCAAAAGTCTATGTAGAATTCTCATTTATCATACTATCTGACTATATTCCTCACATAGTGCAGTCTCTGCATTAGTCTTTAATACTGGCACGTGTATTTAGGTCATCATAGATCCATCATAGCACATGATATATGGACTGAGTTAGTCATGATGTGTTAGTTGAAATGCAAAACTCAACATTTTACATATTAGAATACTGAGTGCATAATAACACATACATGTGCATACTATTGCAAAATAGATTAAATTCCAATATGTGGTCAAAGAATGTACAGTGTATAAAGATGTTGAAACTAAGCTAAGGAGCATGATACTGTAGACCCATTCTGTTCCTTTGTTATTGGTGTTTGTAATATTCAAACACACTAAAACTATATCGTTTCGGTAATTGTTATATTAAATCTAAGTGGTATAATATTACAAACATTCTTGTCCATTACTACTATAGTTTATTTTGTGTTTGTAATATCATACTTATCATTTTACAAGTGCAAAATTGCCAAAAGTTACAACATTAATGAGGAATGAAAAGCAATTGTGTCAGTAATGACTGTAAGCTAAGTGGTATGATATTACAAACACTCTAAAGTTTTGTTTTGTGTTTGTAATATCATACGCATATAAATAGTCAATTGCAAAAATACTGATAGTTTCAATATGAGTGAGGAATCAAAAGTTATTTTGTAAGTTATGGTTATAAGTGGTATGATATTACAAACACACTATATTTTCATTTTGTGTTTGTGATATCATATTTTATAGTTAGGAATCAAAAATACTGGGCACAAAATCATGCATTATGATATTAATGAGGAATAAAAAGCTATTATGTAAGTAATGACTAAAACCTAAGTGGTATGATATTACACAAACGCTATTGTTTTATTTTGTGTTTGTAATATCGTACTCCATAGTTTATGAATTACATGAAATAGTATTGTAGGACATTATCAAAAGTGAGGAATGAAAAACAATTATGTCAGTAATAACCATAAGCTAAGTGGTATGATATTACCAACACGGTAAAGTTTCATTTTGAGTTTGTAGTGTCATACTGATGAGTTTACAAATAGTCAATTGCAAAAATACTGATAGTTTCAATATGAATGAGGAATCAAAAGTTATTTTGTAAGTTATGATTATAAGTGGTATGATATTACAAACACACAATTGTTTTATTTTGTATTTGTGATATCATACTTAACAGTTTATGAATTACATTTAATAGTATTGTAGCACATTACCAATTGTTGCAATATTAATAAGGAATAATAAGGAAGAGCGTTTCGTTTTGTGTTTGTAATATTTAATATCATGTTTACAAATATACAATTGCAAAATAATCAATAGTTAAAATATTAGTGAGGAATGGAAGGTTATTTTGTCAGTTATGGCTATAAACTAAGTAGTATGATAATACAAAAACACTATAATTCCATTTTGTTTTTGCAATGTTATACTCTATACTTATGAATTCATACATGTAGTACTGGGCACAGTACCATATGTTAAAATATTAATGAAAATGAAAAGCTATTTTGTGAGTAATGACTATAACCTAAGTGGTATGATATCACAAACAGTTATTTGTGTTTGTAATATCATACTCTATGGTTTATTAATTAATAGTATTGTCCCACATTATCAAAAGTTACAATTTGCATTGAAGAATGAAAAACAATGACTAAGCTAAGTGGAACATGTATGATATTACAAACTCATTGTAGTTTTGTTTTATGTGTTTCTAATATCAAACTTGTTACAAATATTCTGGTGTATAATAACATGGGCTTTCAATTAGAGTTGGTGAAGAATGAAAATTTATTGTAAGTGGTATGATACTTCAAGCACACCATAGTTTTATTTTGTGTGTGTAATGTCATACTATATTTCTTCATGAATGCATGGTTCTGAAACATAAATATATAGCGAGGAATAAAAATTATTGTGTTGGTTAATACAGGTCCAGTGAGTTGTTATATTACAATACACTAATTCTATTTTGTGTTAGTACAGTAATATATGTGTTGTTTTTTATATGTTATTGTTATTATTGTTGACAAATAAACATCTTACTGTATTTTCAAATTCATACATAATGTTTCTTACTTTTAGAATAAGTTTTGGTGAGTACATTAGATTGAACAGCCTATTATATTGCAGTTCAATACAGTCAAATGATACAATAAAGAAGGAAAATAATGTAGTAAAACAAACGTAGCTTTTTTGTCACAATGACGATAGCAATTCTTAATTTTTTTAAACAAATAAACATCTTACTGTATTTTCAAATTCATAGATAATGTTTCTTGCTTTTAGAATAAGTTTTGGTGAGTACATTAGATTGAACAGCCTATTATATTGCAGTACAATACAGTCAAATGATACAATAAAGAAAGAAAATAATGTATTAAGACAAATGTAACTTTTTTGTCACAATGATGATAGCAATTCTTAATTTTTGATTTTCAATATATTTGAATTAATCCCAAAATCCGCTTAAAATCAAGGGTCTTATTAGGCATGTTTTATTGGTTGCTATGACAACGCTTATTAAAATATTTGTAAAAAAAAGTAAGGGAACAGTTTAACATTGTACCAAATGATTGTATAACACCACACATCATTGATTATGACCTTCTACAAGACAGTTAAAATTGTTACAAAAGTGCTCCCAAAAGTTGCATTTTGAGCAAATCGGCTGGGTGGTAAAGGGAGTATAACGTCAGAAATGGGCCGGGTGGCAAAGGGTTAAACAATTACTTGATTGTGCATCAAAACGTAAATATACTCTTAAATTGCTGGTGTCGATGATGGTGTATACATAGGCTTACATTGATTCATGTTTCACAATTAATTTTGAGTTTAAAGATAAACTAATGTATCAAGTTTGAAATATCTAATCACATGAATAAAAATAAATTGCAATAGTTGTTGTTTATCTTAACAAGAGAATTTTATTAAGATAATCGTTGAAATACATTGTTTTGAGTTTCCCTAAAGATAATTAATTTCAAGATTTCGTTTTCTAAGCTAAATAATATGCCAAGTCAATTACCCAAATGAGAGTAGGTAGTTACCAGTTTCACCACCAGGTGGCTGATTCGGGTCAATTAACATGGCAGGTATATAAGAAAGTTCCCTTAAACTTAAATAGTATCAATTTAAGTGGCTCAATTTTCATATAACCCTTATGCGTCTGATACTTATACTAATGAAAATATGTCCAGTAAAGCAAAATATTATCAGTCCACTAAAAGAAAAGATATTTCATTTTTTGTGATTTTATAGCATGGGGTCTATGGGGAGCCTCCCCGAGCTAGAAGTCACATTTTCAAAGAAAATTAATTTTTCAAAGTTGATAAACACTTTTTAAAACCTCATTTCTAGATGTAATTTTACATGTAGATTTCAAATATGATATTACTTTGACTGAATTTTGAATTTTTAATGATGTAAATCAAGATTATTTATACTCGCATCTGGGTTATTCCTCGATCGACAAAATGAATGTACAAATTAGACACACATGTCTTCTTACATCAAAATACAACATTGTTCCGAATAGGTCAATCACTCCTCCTTGTGATATTAAGTGTTATTTAACAGTGTCGCTGATGGTCGCTTAGGTTTTTAAACAATAACGTACATAATTTACACATTTAAGGTCGTCTTTTATTGCAATTAAAGCATGTAAATATTTCTCCAATGAGTATCCCCTTTACACGAGAACATTTCCCGGAATCATGAAACCAGTCGGGGCATTTAGAGCACTTGATCCATTCGAACTGCGATTGTAAATACGAATAATAGTTAACACCGCATGCCTTGCAAATATTTACAGTGTCTGTTCTTTTTATCGGGCCTTTCCTTTTCTTCGCGGAAACCATTGTGTCTAAAGACTTTGAACTTGTTGATGGGGTTACTAAAGGCCGACGCTTCAATGTGGTTGAAAGAGTGGAAACGTCGGAGGGCGTCGATGCTTTACTTGACGTACTGGGTGTCGGGTGTGCTCGTCGTGTGGTCCGTTTTGGTTTTAAAGGTTGCTCGGTGACCACCTTAGCTGCCTGCTCGGTCTTCCTAACGGTTATAAGGTTGTTCCTTTGCCAACCACAGGGTGAGGATGACGTATCTGTTCTGCATGCGTTACAAAAGCACGATAATTCTCGCGTTTCAACAATATTATCGGAAACCCCTCTCACAGCATTGATTCGAAAGGTACATGTACCTTGTACTGGTTTAAGTCCAGTCGCCCTATCTTCAATGTTTTAATAATGCGTTCTGGGATTTCTTGGATTTTCATTTGTGTCCTGGCAGTTTCACTTTGAGACTCTGAGCGTTCCCTTCAGTCTGGCGTGTTTTGATTGTTTCTCTATACACTTGGCGTATGCGTGCCCTGTATTCCCGGGATGCCTTGTCGTTCTTTTCTCTGATCCGTTGAAGAGCTTCAGCAGACAGGTTATTTCTCGGTGTATACGATGCTCGCTGTCGCAATCGTTCTTGCTCTAAGTAGCCTTTGGTATCTTTTCTTTCTTTCTCTCCCTGTACTGTAGTCTTAGGGAACGACGACACTTCTCGGCGTTGGTGAGTGCCATATTCTTATATCATCAGAAAGGTCTGATAAGTAAGACAGATATGTTAATGAGAGTGTGGGAAGTTATGCACATTAATAAAATGTCACAAAACTGATTATCCCAATGAAATATTTATTGTTTTACAATAATGGCAAGAAATACATTTCGTCTAGTGGTACACTGAACGAAACGTTTATAAATTAAGAAATATCGGGGAATGTGCATCTATATTTGTCAGTGATTTTATAAAACTATGAACTGCTCAATCATCCCAATTCTTGTGTCACATTACCATAGCATTTCAAAACAAACAGAATATGCATCATAAGTAAATAACATGATCTGCTTAATAGATTCAATTTTATTTATCACTATACGTTGTAATCACAATGAACAATATGTTCTAAATCCTTAGCTCGGTATCACTGTAAAATGCTACACATACAACAAAATAGTCATTTAATGAATGTAGGTTAATTCAACAAATATATAGCATTCGATTATACATGTGACCTACTTAATATGTGGATAGTATTTTGGAGTCGTATGTGGTGGAGTCGTTGATGGTCGTAAATATCTCAATCTTTACGTGGTCAAAGAATAACATCAATAAAGCGTATTTTTATATTATCAATATATATTGAGACAAACCGTCAACACCATTACTTAACATTGAAACCTGATTTTGATTGAAAGCAGAGTGCAAAGACAACGTACTTGTGGAGTCGATGATGATTTTGAAAAATAGTACTTTACGTCGAAAAATACGTAACAAGCTAAATATGTTATATTCAAATGTATTTTGAAAATGTTTTACATCCGTTAATAAGGCAATTTATATTTCAAGTGAAGTGAATGGGGGATTATCATGAATAGTGCAGAGGCTTCTCCACACCGTTGATTTCAAGCATGGTGTCGATGATGGTTCCTTCGAGGGCTACACATACTTAATGTCGATTTTCCAATAGTAAATTAGCAAATAAATTAATTCCAGCTAACGTACAATCGACACGATGCAGTCTTTATGATGAAATTGTCAATTATCATAACAAAATACGTTCCAGAATATAAAAAAGTTACTGTCAATTAACATAAGGGTGATCGGTTACAAGGCAAAAAATGATAGTTTGGAATGTTCGACGATTGATAATGCGTTCAGCTTTTATAACCCTGAGATAAAAACTAAATGATAATTTGCAGGATTAAGAGACGTTTAATTTGATACCAAATACTCATGGTAGAGCGTATATTAAATAGCGGAATAAAAACATATAGTCATGTAACATAAAATTCGTTATAATGAAAGGAATATGTGGCCTGAGTGAATACGTATTTTTTACGATTTTTGCCTCCTTTGTTTTGAGAAAGGGGACAAATAATATCATTGAAAAATGTCTCTGGTCCCCCCGGTGTGAAAGAAATAATGGTCCGCCAGAGATTATGGTCCCCCTTTTTAAAGGCCCTTACTGGCCCTGATGTGTATAAGATAATAAGGGAAAGAGTTGTATTTAGGTCACCACATAAATCAATGGAGAGTAGGACCATAATTTGATAGAACTTCCTACCCTTTTACACCTGTTATAAAGACGTATAAACGTCGGAGGAAATTGTTATTTTCATCATTTTCACCAAGCTCAAGGTCAATTTGTATCCAAATATTTCACCAGTATGTCAATTCTTCCATCGGATCCGGTTACTGAAAAGTTGTAGTCAGTTACGAGGAAATATATATCCAGCAGCTCCATTAATCGAGTAAGAATTCACCACTTCAGCAACCGGGTCGTTATTGGACGTTAACACAATGCAACTAAGACGTTATGAAATTCGCCAGATAACGTCCCGGTTGCCCTTTTCAGTAATTTTTCCATCCTCTGGAATATAACACCATTGTTTCGTATGGGGAATGGAGGCGAACCTCACGTAGAATTCACCTTTTTTATCTTGAGTCAGTAGTTTCAATGCTTTTTTTATATCGTGACGCATTTCTTCTTTCGCTTCTTACATCAATATGCACCTCTTTGTATCTGCATTTAAGAAAATCAAAATTAGATAGCAGCTTGGCAAGATCGTGTGTTAAGAATAAACGAATACAATCAAATTTTACCAGCACCACAGTCATTTGGACACTTTATAGGCTTTCACTACTATTGACTTTCATTTTTAATATGTGAAAAATATCAGCTTACATGATATGGTGTATTTTTTAATGATTGCATTTAATTTGCTGACATGAATAAAGTCTAAAAGGTGATCGTATAAAGTGTGAAAATCTAGCTACATATTATACAAGGCTTATAATGTTTTGTAAAATCAAGAACGTAGCCACTGGCCAGGCACGAGACAGGCGAGGTTACAGAATTATATTAATAAAACTATGTACAACTGTGGAAATGAAGTCCAATATGGTTGTATTATATAATCTAATTCATCCTAATTTTGCCTAATCTATTAGATTTGACTTGTAAGACAACGCATCCATTTTAAGATCCTGGTTCAGTACTTTGGAAAAGCCATGCAGCATCAATATTTTTGCCATATATGGGCACGTCGTGATACAAAATTCGAATCCAAACAGCCGCCATTTTGTTCACTTCAACATTTGAATCGTGAATTTTGGTCTTATTACCTTACGAAAAATTCCAAAACTCACAAGAAATGATCGAGATATTGGTTCGAATCTTTTGAACTGTTTAGTTTGAATTTATAGTCGGTTATAATTTCAGAAATAAACGACACTTCGACGTTTTACATTGTTGGAAAATATCGAGTTTCGATCCAGGGAGCCAATCCTCCTTGGATAAAGCCAAAACAATGCACCGGAAGTAAAAACAGGGGCGTCGACGTTGCTCTCCGTGCCAAATCTAGGAATTCAACACATACTTACCATAGTTCATACATAGCTGTTCCTGCATTCCACTCATGGCGTAGTCCATGAAGCATTTGTCCCACCACGACATATCAACGTCCTTCCTGGTCATCATTGCCAATCCACCATGTGTGCAGTCGAACGAGTCAGTAATTTTTACCAATCCATCTGTTCCATCACGTCCTTCGGGTAGGAGGGCCACGTCAAACTGAATAAAGGAAACACAACAATTGATGGGAATTCATTTCAACAAGTTGCGTTCTTCATAACAACACGGTTACAATATTTAAAAATCAAAATACCTCTCTTTGATTAAATGAAAGCATGTTTTTTAACAAATTTCGCTCGAAATTTCGTAACCTTTCTCAGAACTCAAAGATTTCCCGACCACTGTAATATTTTTTGAAAAAAATCCTATACTTTTCCAGGTCGGAGAAAGCACATCTCAGTGATCGCTTCTTTATAAGGTGTTATAAGGTGGTATCTGTAAAGTTTATAACTGTAGTACCTCTCTGTTGGTAAGCTTCTCCAGGACGGTCGTCCAGTCTCCGTCAACGTAGACTACACTGGATGGATCTAATGTGTCCGAACCAAAGAAAGCATTACGCCGAGCACATAACGCGTCCATATAATATGCGGCTCTGAACCCTGGAAAAGTACTAAACATGTAAACTAACACCAGAAGCACGTAATGAGTAGCAACCCACTCCAAAACGTATACCCACCTCAAACAATTTTATAGTGTATGAAAAATAATCGAAATGCTTTTTACGTTTTACCCTGCGTGCAAAGTCCAGTTATAAACTACTCAAAACAAAGCTCTCTTTTAAGAAGCGGAGTCGAACGAATGCAAAGGGTGATTACGTTTCCGCATTTTCTGAAGCATGTTTTCTTACCCACACTTGCTGGAAAGATATCGGCCACCGTAGTGATTCCAGAGTCGGGATGCGCGTACAACGCTGCCATAGTAGCTGTCATGAAGGGCCTCGTAAAATTCAATGTATTCATCCTTGAAATAGTCCGTCCCCACCCAACACAAGCATCGAAGTGACGATCATTCAAACCTGTTAAGAATTGTCGAGAATTGATGAAAACGCCGATTTAAGAGCTTCGCATACTTAAACTTTTAATGACCTATTGTGCATTTCCTTCTTCTTAATAGCATATTCAAATTCAGTGAAAAGCACAATTCATGCAGTTATGTTATTTAAATCATTTTCCATGAATTTTTCAATTTTTCTAAATTGATGTGGGCCAAACCTCCATTGATGGACTGTTACAATTACAATTCTTTAAAACCTTGGTGGTTTATTCGTTCAAGAAACAAAGGTTTGGTATCGATATGGGGAACTGAATTCAACAATGTTTTTCTTTTAAACCAATCATTGAAAACATTCTGTAAAAACACGGTATTTTATGTAAATGTTGACTGACTGACAACAATTTAAAGCGAAAATTATTTAGAAATATTTTATATAACTGTTTTTGTTAACATTTTTTGTTTTTTTTGTGCAATTGTTTTTGCTCCTTTCTACCAATTCTTAAGAATGAAATAAAATGTCTTTCCGAACCTCGTTGGAACAAAATAGCATATACAACATGGTTTTAGACCTCTCAATATCATAGTTATACAAAGGAATTTTTGGTTGATTTTAAAAAAGTATTCAAAAAATTAAAACAAAATCCCCCCAAATAGATAAAAATCAAGATAACCCTTTTATTTCATTAACAAGATACTTTTTTAAAATCAACCAAAATTTCCTTTGTACAATTACAATATTGAGAGACCTAAACATGTTGTTTATGTCGTTTTGTTTCAATGAGGTTCGGAATTTCACAGATGTTTCATTTCACTCTGGAAACATGACACCAAGAACAAATCAAGTGTTTGATGTGTTTTCTAAAACAATATAGATGAAAGTATATATATTTTTCAAATTATATTGTTACCATTCAAAAGATGACCATTAAATCGACGATGTGTTAAATTTTTAGATTTTTTATGACTGGTTTAAGAGAAACGTGTGTTCAAAAAGTTCTCCATATCGATACCACTCCTTTTCATGATTAATCAGCATTAAAAGGGTCATCTAACAGTAGCTTATGCCATTTGAGTTTTAGACAGATTCAACAAAACATTTTGGTAAATCATGAAATAAGCGACTACTTATTGCAAGTTGCAAGTTTTTACCATTGAAGCCTATGGCAGTTTGGTCCAGCCAAAACAAATAAAAACAAGTGCTGACATCTTTTTATTGAGCTTAAGACTGTATTTTACATGCATGCGGTGCTAGTGAATTGCATAATATTTTAATGAGGTCTCTCCCCAGGCATCACTAAAAGAACAATAAGCCACGCAGTGCAAATTACATGCTCATGTGTTTTTACAAAAATAGCTTATCCAAGCGCACCCACACTCACATAATGTTTTGAAAGATACCACGGTTTATTGCCGTGGAACTCCTGCGGTGCACTAGCAACGAGCAGACGCGATTGACAGACACGAGCAGCCGGCAAGGTTGCCACAGCGTAATTAGCGGTTTAAGTGCGCTTGGATGAACTGCTTTTGTTGAAAAAGTGTGAGCATGTAATTTGCAACGTATGGGCTCATTTTTCTTTTTCATGATACCTAGGGGGAAATTTATTAAATATTATGCAATATACTTGCGCCGCGGGCAGTTCAAAAACGCAGTCTTATTCAGCTATATAGCAACTCACTTATATTAAAAAAAACTTACTATTAGCTTCTGGATTGGGTATTTAGGAGATTCACATTGTATCAAGTGATTTAGTTATGTGTGTATATGTACCTCGAGATGACATGTCACTGGCATCATAGCACCGCTCGGCATTGTCCCCAAGGAAGACAGTGTCACATTTCATGTCACACATGTGACATACATCTTTTATCATTTCGTACATCATACCAACTGCTTTGCCAGTGTATTTGTCCCTATCATCACAAATACAAGCAATTTAATAAATTGCATATTTTTATCTCCAATCCTAGGAGTAACGTTTTAATTGTATATTTTTCTCATATCATTTGTTGGTATGCGTATTCTGTAAACAATCTGAAAGGTTCATTGCTCATAAATACAGTGAAAGAGTTTTGGATAGATTTGTCCACAAAAGATGAATTTGGATACATGTATATACAAATTGAGAGTGGTGAGAGTGACATTCAAAAATCCAATACCATCACCAGTATAGGTCTTTATAAGATCTTATTTTTTGAAAAGGACAGTTTCAATCCAACCTCTTATAGGTCTGATTCTACTTTGATGTACATTCCCCTCCATACTTTTGACAACATGAAGTTTTCATCGGAAAGCTTAAGTTTGCCCATTACATATTTGGGGAATTTATGACAAATGATGACTTTTCTCTAAATTGCCAAACACAAACTTATGATTCAAAAGGGGACTTCCTAGTGCCAAACTTATTGAGGGGAGTGTAGATCATTCCCATTTCTTGCTAAGTGAATTGGTTTCCATGAGTTGTTGAATTGATATTTGCTATTTTGCTATTGAGAAATGAAGAAATTTAAGATTTCCCATTACGTTTGGAGGTATTGCAACAACAGTTCATAGCTGCTATTAATACCAAAAGCTGGTATAACATTATAAGGCAACAAGAATTACAAAGCATCAATATATCTCATAACAAGAAAATAAATATTGTTGAAAGTTATGGCACAACACTTCTTTGTGGAATAACATTTTACTTACACAGACGAATACGGGAACCAGTTCCCTTCTACCGCAAACAAATAGGTCCTGAAATTCATAAAATAATTCAACTTTGCTTAGATAGATAGTGCAAGTTCATCTAAATAATACATTTTGCATTGATTTGTTTCTCTGACATTTCAACATGACTGTAATGTGAATATCATAATCAAGGTATACCAATTAAACATCATTTTGGCGTATTGCATACTATCCTTATTACGAATGGAACTAGCTGTACTTTTTGATTTCAATTTTTCGTGATTTAAGCCAAAGTATTTTAATTGAGATAATTTCACATTTATTTTCACAATAGGAGATTTAAGCCAAAGTATTTAATTAACATAATTTCACATTTACTTTTCATATGAGAGCTCGATTTAAGCCAAAGTATTTTAATTCAGATAATTCCACATTTACTTTTCCAAGAGAGCTCGCGATTTTAGCCAAAGTATTTTAATATAGATAATTTCACATTTATTTTCACAATAGAGTCCGCGATTTAAGCCATTTTAATTAACATAATTTCACATTTGTTTTTCATATGAGAGCACGATTTAAACCAAAAATCTTCAGATGGAACACAATGCCAGTCACTTTCTTGTCCATGGGGAGTAAGAACATCCAGTTGACTTTAACATGACATGTTAACAATCTCCCTGTATACTACCAAGTAATGGACGTAATTCTCCACTTACTTATCCATGTCCTTTTCGCTCATTTTCTCGCCATCTGGCATCACGACCTCTCCCCCACCAACTCCGGGTGTACTGCTAGGGAAACAACCTCTAATAGATGCTGTTCCTAAAACAACGAAGAAGAGCATAACTTGCAGAGAGAACGCCATTTTGGAAACTGTTCCGAAAACACTGGATAACCGGTCCACAGAGGTGAATATAAGAGGCTTATAGAGTACGAGTGCACCGGACCTTGTTTTGTTCAATTAGTTTTGGCCGAATACCATAAGTCTTACACTTTGAATGCCTATTGATATTTCGACTTGAATGCCCCTTTAAATCGTGGGATTTGGATTATATTTTGAATGGCTACTTGAAATAGTCCATTATGTCATTGAACTAACTGCTTGAAAGACAAATTCTTTCTATTTATAATAATTTGCACACTATAACCGATTTTTCCAAGATCAGTGGGATTGGAATTCATCCATGAGACAAACATTTCCTTTCACACAAATATCTAGTAAATTGAGAATTTCTTTACGGTATTTTGAAGTATCTTATGGCGGTTAAAATATCTATCAGCAAGGCATAAGTGAAATGACCAGTACCATTAGTTATGTTTCAAAGTTATCAGCTGAAATCGCTCGATGCCCGGACAGATGCACTTTTGCAACTTGCATTAGACTCGAAGAATATGCCAAATTTTGTATTGACATTCTATCATTGATATTTTACACTAAACAGTGCACTGTCACATTGGCCACATTGGCCACCATCCTTCTTGTCTTGCATACTATGTGTTAAACGTACACGGTCTGTAAATTTGATGTCATCTACTCTCTCGACAGATTTTGGTATCATTCGTATACCATTTCAACTTTAGGCTGGGTATAAATCAATGTTATACACCCCCCAAATTTCACGGTATTTAGCAATGCGATAGAAAGATGGCATTGTTGTTTGCATTAATTATCCATTCATTTGTGATAGGATTTTCAAGCATACGCCATCTTTTAATCCAAGAGTTATTTAAAACATACACTTTGTGAAAAGTGGTAATTCACTTTTTTCAATCTCTGAACTTCAAATGCTGTTTTTCTATGCAAGTAATTTTTCTTCACATCAGTATTATCCCAAATAAAGGTTTTTATCATATTTGATTGACTGTGTGAGTGACATGTCTCAAATAATATTTTGTCCTTTTTCCATCAAAAATAGGCGCATTGCCTGTTTAATAGGACGGGAAATCAGGAATTTCTCACTCCTTATCTGCCATCTATATTCATTATCATTCGAAGTAGTACTTTCAAAAGACAAATCTTCATTTTCCGATAATTTTCACATTGATCCAAAAACACAAATACTAAACCTATCATCTTGATATTATTCAATCAATCCCATGATGATAGCAGAGAAGTGTATGGTTGTATCCGCAACGTGACCTTGATGATAGAAATGGAATGGTATACGGTAGACAATTCACGATTCACGAGTATAAGTTATTGAATGATTTGAAGTGCAATACAGGATATATTCTGCTCGAGAAATTCCGTATTGGAACGAGACGAGAGTAGATGACATCAAATTTATTGCAACCCAAATCATTCAATAACGTTTTTATCGTGTGATCCTCTGTATTGCTACTGAGATTGTTCCCTCCGTACCAATATTTTCTGTATTGCGACGGAGATGATCAACGGGGACAATCTCAGTAGCAATACAGATTGGTACAGTACAAGAACTGACCAATCAGAAGGCTTCATTTTACAGATCATACGATAATATTGTGTATTGTACATCGCAGGCGAGATTGGAGGCACATTGTTACTAATTCATATGATACGATATGATTGATGATACGAAGAGTTTCAATGGATGACTACGAGTTAGGGCGTCCCAAGGATTTTTCCAAGGGGGGGGGGGGGGGTGAGGGGGGGGGGGGTGGGGGTGGTCTACATTTCCTCCTCCTCCCTTCTCCTACCAGGGATTGGCTCAAAAAGGGGTGTGTGGTTGAACACAACGCCATGTGTGTCGATGATATAATACGCTTATTGATAATGCCTGGATATAACAACATTATTGAGGTATTTTGTGTAGAATAAACCCCATGTAGTTTGGTCTGCAAACAAAATGTGGGAGAAAACAGTAGAATATCAACCTAAAACTTGTTTTATATTTGCCTGGGGATACATTTAACTAAGATTTGGTTTAGAATCATTGACAATGAACACCTTACATTTTATCATTAAGAGATAACAAGTTGAGGATCCTTGTAGTCAAATCGCATCTTGGTGTCAAGATACAATGAAACTAATGAGCTCTTTGGGATACTCAAAATACAATACACTTATCCTTTGATACCAAAGGTATACATGTTTTAAAAACTGTCCATTGTTTTTTAATTTCAAGTACCATCATAATATATGAACTCTAACGATTTTACATTTTATCTTCATTAGTAGGACTAATCATATGGGAATTCGCACGGTATGTAGGATTGTTTAAATCATTATATATTTCATTAATTTCATAAGAATTATAGTATCACTGATGTAGTCATTGTATTAAGAAAGCACGCCAAATCTTTAATCTGGATATTATGTAGATCAAAAAACTAGATGTAGATTGATGAAATCTAAATAAAATTTAAATACCAGAATTGAATAGATGAATATATCAACACAGAGGCATCGTATTTTGAAACAGTCTTATTATTTCGTTTTCAGAAAAATAAACTATGACGATTAAATATTGGATATTTCTTCTGTTTACATACGTATCAGGTATGTCAGTTTAGTTGGTAATATCATTCCATATCTTACCATACCCTTTTCTCAAATTTACTTAACTATGCATGATCAACTATGAATATTTAAGAAAGTATGTGTTAGTGTGTTTTCTTTGAGCCAAATACTTCAACAGTGTAATATTTTGTAAAAGTGGGTGTGGCACTCCTCAATTGAATCGGACTTCCTTCCCAAAACACACTTTGGAGAATATAACATTTTCTTGAGCTCCAGAATCACTCAGTCATGATATATATTTCACATTTTGAAAATAAAAATTAAGGGTGAGTGTCCATCATTTACAACATTGTCATCCTCCTCCATAGCTTTGGCAACCGGAAGTTCGCTATTGAATCGCGTGGGTGATTACAATTGTCATTTCGGAACGGGACAGCATCTTTTCCATTCAATCGAGGCTGGCCCATGCAGCCGAAGGTAAGCCATACAACCGAATTTTGTCCATTCAATCTGACGGAGAATGCCGAGCCTCTCTTTTTGACCAATTAGAGAAGTCCTCTTCACATTCGTGGTACCCTCGGCCAACTTCGTTTGCAAAGAAAATCTTTGGCAATCTCCGGCTTTTCTTGAGGTATCTTCGGTTGCAAGCCAAAAGTTGACATCCATTTCCGAACAATAAAAACTATAAAAACAAAGAAAATGAAGATTCAAACATTAACAGGTTTAACATGCTATCATTTGAAGACTTCTGGTTTCCAAAATTATTGAGGGGAGTGTACTAAGTTGAACAATTAACACAATTTGAAATTTTGTCATTTATGCCAAATCAGACAGCTGAATATGAGAGGCTAAAACTGTTCAAATATTGTTGAATATATAGGGTCATGATTACACCAAACTTGAACAAAAATTGCACACACTGATAGTTAAATCCTCAAAACCTTCATACATGGAGACTTTTTCAAACTTCAAATTCGCCATTTTGATCAATCGATTGTAGTATTTCGATCCTCACCCACTTTAACAGGATACTTCAGATCCTGTTTCAACTTTAGAATAAAGATATAATGTGCATGATTGCAATCACAATCGTGCATAATGCATTTCATTCAGCTCTTCAAGAGTGGAGCATGAACAAATGATTATTGTTTTTGGGAAGATATTTGATCCCGTGGCATTTTATTTAAGGATACTCCGCGCATTGTAAGCTGAATCATTCTATTGAAGGTGTTGTTTCCAAATCTTTGCATGTCCGCGAAACGGCAATGCAAAGGTCGGGCCTCAAGTTTTTCACACATTGCAAAATATTTTCTACGAAACCACCTAAAAGATACAAAATCACTAAAAGAACATATTTTGCATATTGCAAGGTTCAAGTTGGCAAAGTATCAATTTCAATCTAGAGATTAAAGTTGTCAACGACCTTGGATGAAATGATTGGTAATATAATGCACTGCAGTTATATGAAATACTGTGTTCGGATTGGCTAGAATCGGACACACCTTGCCTAGGTATGTGTATATGGGGAATATTGCATTAGGTTAATATTTAGCTTCGTTTAGTGTTTGTGTCTCTTCACCAGTGTTAACTGATAAATAATTTGAGATTTATTTTCATGAAATCAAGCCCAAACGAACAAAGAGCTGGTAATCAACAATCTGGTCCCATTTGAGGAATATGTAGATACACCAGGGAGGGAGCGTGAAACTCAAACGTTACAACAGCGAATGGAGAAATGGTTTGTTCCGAGTGTTTCCATTGCCGTCATCAACAACTACCAGATTGATTGGTCTGATGGGTTCGGACTGGCACAGCCAAGTACGATCTTTTCGTCCTTTGTTCAGTTTTCTTGCCTGCGGCACTATTCTAATGAACCTAAAGCACAAGTGAAATTCCCAAAAGTGAATTACTACTTTCTATTAATTAACTCATGTTAAACTAAAAAAAATCAACAGCAACAGAACCTTACACGTATGGCCTGTGTGTATCAGTGTATGAATTTTATTGATGATTTTCATTAATTCGTAGGTGCTGGTGCGAATGATAATACGCTTTATCAGGCTGGCACCCTCAGCAGCTTCGTATCTGCAATCGCCACCCTGGCTCTTTCTCAACAAGGTCGACTAGATCTAGAGGCTGATGTCAACACCTTGCTTGGGCCGTCTTTTAAGGTAGCAATTGATAAATAAATGTTATCGTATATCGTTTAGAAAATAATGATGGTTTGTGACTGTTAAATTTTCACATCTCAAATTATCTGATATTTTAATTCATGATTTGAGTTAAGAAAGATGGCGGTTAACCTAAATTGAGCTGCTTTTGATGCTCGATGCAATATTTATTTTAAGGTCCAGGTGCAATGTTCAATGATCTTGTCAGAAAAATCATCAACGTTTGTAATTCTTACTTGTGTTAAGCCCCTGTCCCTTCCAACAACGCAGAAGTTCACAATAGGGAGGTCGTGAGACTGGATACCGGGCAAGAACATGCTGTATTTATCATAAAATCCTTTTATTTTCAGATTAAATATAACGACCAACAAAAGGATGGTGTAAAACTAAAACATTTGCTTAGTCACAATGGCGGAATTTCTGAACTTGAATTTGAAGGTTATCCACAAGTAAGTCTTAGCATGTCAAATTGTAACAGTAGCTAATCTTGACTAGATATAGTAGAAACGCTCTAAATCTTCATTGTTCATTTTTTACTTTCCTTTGTAAAATAGATAAAGAATAAATTAATATGATATTAAATGGTATATCCTCATCAGGACAAAACTAGCAATAAAGTTCATCACTTTTTTAGTCAATTAGTCAATTGCCGACTTTACTTGAGACGCTAAGGGGTGAATCACCAGCTAATAATCTACCAATTGAAGTCGAGGAAGATTTTTTGGGTTTCGAAGGAAAGCCTGTTCGTCAAGGTACGTGTACTACTCATACGAGGCATGATCAGAATGTTTCTTATGATAATTGATTCGGAAAGCTGTATACCTTTAAAACATTAATCTTAAATCAAAATTTCTAACGAGATTTAATATCATATTGTCATTCCATTGTAAGTTTCATTCAGGTTTTAGCCACATATGACAGTCTCTATACTGATTTACGTCTATTACATTCTATCTGGGCTTGTAAGGGCCACTACATAGGTACCCGTATAGATATCTCGAGTGTTATTGACATTTCGGCTTATCTCTACTAATCCACTCGAGTTAAGCCTTTAAGTCAACAAACCGACCCTTCGCTAACCCTAAGGCCCGATAAGAGGCTTCCTAGCCCCCGAAAATCGACCCTATTTCCCTCCCCCACCACGCCCCTACCCTGGGTATAGTTAGGGGTGAAGTCTTCTAGGCCTAACCTAACCCCCCTAAACACTTTGGCGCGGGTCCCATCTCTCTAGCTCTCCCCGTTCGGGAGATAGAAATCGGGCTGTCGGAGCCGCTTTCTTTGATCTCGCCGACACCCCCCTCCCTCGCATATTCAGGCAATTTCAGTTATACCCTTACTATACTCCTCCATTCTTAACCCTAATCGCTATAACGGATAAAATCGGTTTTTACCGAACCTAACATTATAATAAAAAGTAGTAGACTGATTTCACGTCAAAATTCTCATGATACCACACAATAATTGTAAAATAAAACTCCCTAATAAATGATGTCTTTCATTTGTCGAAATGTAGCCACATCCCCACATTCTAACTTCTGTGAAGTTTTACGTTTTAAATCATATTGTCTGTGCCTGCATGTATTCTTAGCTCAAAATAGTGGCTGGATTTTACGAACTGTACATTCGATATGTACATTAAATCAAAACTTGTAATCATAATAGCATAGTAGTCTACTAACATTTTCATTCAATAATGACATAACAATAATATGTTTTTAATACATAAACAACTATATTCTGATATATTTTGTTTTTGTTTTCAATATTCTTGATGATTAAGTTAACTATCTTATCTAGCATAACTATAAACAAATAAGTTACACTACATAGTCTCTTTGAAAGGTGCAACTTTGAAAAGTATCAGAATGTGATCTTTGGATTCTGATCTGCATATCCGAAACATAACGCTTGACCAAACCATCGTTCAATTTGCGTATTTGAACAGAAGTCTGGTAATATATCTTCTACACTTCGATCTGCCCTTGCACCATTGTACAGAAATGTATATGGTGTATTGTCCACACACTGATGAATCCAAGCTTTGAAGTCTAACTGCAGTCGAGATAATTTTCCTTTTTAGCTCTTTGCAAATGTTTCGAAATCTGAGTTGTAACAGTAATAAGACGGTGCGTGGCCGTAGGAATCTACAAAATACACGTTTCTTCTGCTATCTCGCTATCTCTGGGTACTATAAAGAGGCACCAATGTTGACCCTCTTGAGATGTTTTGTCTGTATTACTAACTAATATCTCGCACTTTGGAGCATTGTGTAGGACTAAGCTACGTAACTCATCGCTACCAAACACTCCGTAATGTTTATTTTTGGTTAAGTTATTGCTTTTCAAAATACAATTAATCTCCTCCGTGTTCATTTCGTCGTTAAATCAGTTGAATATAACCTTTCTGGACTTGTCTATTTCGAAGACTGTGGGGAAGACACGAACTGAAATGTTATCTTCGATACTGAGTTTACATGGTTAAGACTTACAAAGTTCAAGCAGTCAACTTATACCAATACTGCGTTGATTAAATGTAGTTTCCCGTCCATAATCAGGCCCGTAAGACACTTTTCTCCAAGGGGGGTGCGGTTTTTAGCTTACTAAAGAGAATATAAAATTGTCAATTTTTTGCCGCGTAAATCAAATCGCGTAAGTCAGATGGGGGGGGGGGGGGCTCAGTTACTCTCTATATTGGTTTGGAATTAACAAATGCAACTTCCAAACGTTCCAATTGTTTTGTGGGGGTCGTGACGAGTGGTCCACTCCCCCTAGAAATTTTACAGTTTTGAGATGCTATTTGGTGCTTTCTGGGCACTTTCAAAGTGTAAGTTTCCAAGTAGTACGCCTACACCACGGGAATAAGAGTTGAGTGAATAAAAACCGAGCATTCAGGGGGGTCTGGGGTCCTTTCCCAGGAAAATTTTGAAATTTGGTTGTATTTGGAGCGAATTTGCAACCATCTGGTACGCCTGTGCGTTATGAGTCAATAAGAAAAATGTGAATTTTTTTTCAAATTCTTTTGGGGGTGTCAAAGAGGATGAGAGGGTAAGTGGGTTGGGGGCCAGTAGGGGAGCAAGGAATATTTTCTTTTGTTTTGTGGGGGATCTGAGGTGTGGCTAACTCTCCTAGAAAATTTTACAATTTAAAGATGATATTTGGTGCTTCTGGACACTTTTAAAGTGTATTAGTCAATAAAAACATTGAAAAACAAGCACATCAAATTTTGGGGTTGTCAATGAGGGGGGGGGGGGGTGCCAGAGGGGGAGGTGGGGCTGGGGTGCCAGAGGGGAGCAAGTGTTTGTCCACCATATCAACATTTACAATATCAAGGTGCTTTTCGATGAAGTTTGGGCACTTTAAAAGTGTCTGTGCCTAAAAGTGCCTATTTCCCAAGAAAATTTTACAATTTTAAGGTGCTATTTGGTGCTTTCTGGGCACTTTCAAAGGGGGTGTTAGGGGGGGGGGGCTGCCAGAGGGGGAGGTGGAGTGGGGATGCCAGAGGGCGAGTAAGTGTTAGTCTTCCAGAATCGTTAACTTTATCAAGGAGCTATTTGATGATGTCTGGGCAATTTAAAAGTGTCAATACATAAAACAAAATCAGAACTTTTCCATTGTTTTGTTTGGGGTGTGAGGGGTGGCCCACTCCCCCTAGAAGATTTTACAATTTTACGACGCTATTTGGTGCTTTCTGGGCACTTTCAAAGTGTATGAGTCAATTAAAGAATTTGAGAAAATCACAATTTTTTTGGGGGGAGGGGGTCAAGGGGGGGGGGGGCGCCAGAGGGAGGGGGGTTATGCAAGTGCAAGATGCAAGAGGGGGAGCAAGTCCCCCAGAAACACTTACTATATCAAGGAGCTATTTGATGATGTCTGGGCACTTTGAGAGTGTCTGAGACAAAACACTAAACTTTTCCATTGTTTTGTGGGGGGTGTGAGGGGTGGCCAATGCCCCTAGAAAATTTTACAATTTTAAGATGCTATTTGGTGCTTTCTGGGTACTTTCAAAGTGTATGAGTCAATGAAAAAAAATTACAAAAAAAAATATTTTTCAAAAAAAATTATTTTTTTCAAAAAATTTTTTTCAAATTTATTTTGGGGGGTGACAAAGGGGGGTGCGGTCGCACCCATCGCACCCCCCCCCATCTGACGGCCCTGATAATGACCATTATAATAAACCCATTTTCTCAAAACGCAAAGAACCATATCCTAATTGTGTTTTGTATTTTTATCGACTTTTTCATGTTTACAATAATCTTCACTAATTTAAGTATTAATAACAAATTTAATCCGCACATTCTCTTCGGAAGCTGTCAGAAGGTGATCTTTGCCTTTTTATCTGCATATTTGAACAGAAAGTTTAACCAAGCCATCGTTCACTTGGGTATTTGTACTGAAGTCTGATTATATATCTTGTACAGACCTGCCCTTTCACCATTGTACCGAAAATATATCAGTATTGTTCACATACTTAAGACAAGGCATACTGAAGTTGAGACAACGTTTCTTTGTAATCTCTTCGTAAATGTTTCGAAATCAGAGTTGTTATAAGACGGTATGTGGCGGTATGAATCTATAAAATAGACGTTGGACATTCCTCGCCTGTTCTTGTAGATAACATACTGTGCGTGTACATCGAAATTAATGCTATTGTTAAATATTCGGCCCAAATATGTAGAGTGCTTAACGCTTTCAAGGAAAGTTGTCATTAAAAGTGAATTGCATATTGGATTTTGAGAAAAAAACAATTGTTATCTTGAAAGTGTTAACAATAAGGTGATACCTCTTACAGAATTTAAATAGACAATTTGACATTCTTTCAGCCCAATCTTCAATATTTGAATATAAAATTAAACCACCAGTCCAAAGTAAAAGATTTATCTGTTGACAATCAATTTAAATTTTACACTCTTTTGCTAAATACTGTGACAAATCGTCAAGGAAGTGGTTGAATAAGTAATTACTTAGCCCTGCATTATGTCGGCATATGTCTCGAAAGTAGGGGCGATACCATCTTTGAGTTTCAGACAAGTTTTCGATTTTTATCCATTCTGAAAATGATTATGAAACTAGTTGAATTAGGTCGTATATCCAGTTTGCATGGTTTACACATTAAACATATTAACATAATCGAACGCTTTTCCGAAGTCAATCTTAATTCGTTATACTAGTTTCTTTTACTCGTTTATAGTGAGATATATGAGTGCGTAAGATAAATAAAGTGTGCTTTGTCTTATTTAGATTGCGTCGACAACATTGCCTGTGTAAGCTTAAACATCTATTACTCTATAATTATCAGGATCAAACGTACTAGTATACAACCTTGCTTAGAAATAGTTTATAACATGCCTATTCCCCATTCATTTGGGTAATATACACTTAGAAAAACATGATTTAAAGAATGGTGATATAGTCCATGGTATGAAATCTTTAGGACGTCTAATAAAGGAGCTGGCAGCACACTATAGCGCAGCGATATTTGAACTAACATTAACATACCTACATATGTTCCCTAATAATTTTTATAATAACCGTTTAATATACTTCCAGCTTTCAGGCTGAATTATGCCTGCCATTAACAGAGGTAAAATGAAATCCCAATTTTTCCCAATTTGGAGTACACAATGCAACAGAAAATAATACAAAATGATTTTAAATATATGATTTAGGTTTCTAAGCTATAAATTTGAGGTTATTTTTCTTATCGATACCAAGAAATTATGTAATCAGTGTATCGACGCTTTGTATTGTTTCTC